ATTTCATTACGAGGAAGTTTATGTCCCCCTTGCAGAATCCAAAATATGTGCATCCAAGAAGTCCTTCTTTTCCTTCTTTAAAAATAGGGGCCCGCGGAGATGACAACACAAACCTGGAGATGGTGCGGCCCCTCTGGCCCCCCTCCGCCCCCAGCCAGGTCAGCTCCCACACCTGTCAGTCAGGCTGCGGGCGAGGGTTTGGGGCGTCTGGAAGCCCCCCTTCCCAGAGCATCTACTACCCCAAACCGGAACCAGCCGCCACTTGCCCTTTTACTGACCTTGGGTAACCTTTCGGGATCACCCGGATGTCTTGGGATCACTTTCTGCAACCTCTGAAAGCCGTAATCTATGGTTGGTTCATTAAGGGCTGTAACAGGACACAGAAATGCAGGTCAGGTTAATTACTTTTATGTCATCCATTACTCGTTTACTGCACGCTTACAAATAAATGTGAGATTCTCCTTTTCTGACACTCTGGAAGGCAAGCCCCCCGAACCCCGGTTCTGTCCTGAGGAACAGGCTTTCCCCTTTTCTTTTGCACATAAAAGCAAGGATTATTTCTAATCTATAATTAGACTGGAAGAAAGTCAAAGGGTTACTCAATATATTGTAGAAATGGGTACGCGGTCAGAAAGTTGCCAGTCTCGGGGCCGTATACAGCCACCACCGCGGTCACAATCACTGTCTACCTCACGCAAGGCCTTCCACACCAGCCGGGGATTTATGGGAACCTGGCAATTATGACATATGTCCAGCTATTGCTAGCTTCAGATTTATCCCTGTGGTCCTTTTTTGTCTAGCATATTGCCTGAGCACAAACCAGGCAGGAGGAGCACTTATTCTTGCAAAGCTGTAATAATCTGTGAATGGCTGAGTACAGACGGATGTGGGCACTATCATTCCACCCAGCCCCACGAAATTGCCGGCCACAAATAGTAATTAATCTTTTTATCCCTCAAATTGTAATTTTGACTATGAACTGTGCGCGGCCATAAATCAGCAGCCCGCGCTGTGTACAGTGCATGAATCACGGCCGGGCTTGGTCGGACCGCAGCCTCTGTGTTTAACAAGCTTTATAAGGAGCCATTGGGCTTTATTATGGCTCTGCCCGACTCCAACAAAAACTGAGCCCGGGGGCCGGGACGCGAGTTAAGATGAAAATACTTATTAGAGTACATTACTTCTTGATGTAGATATCGTTTTCCGGGGAGCAACGCCACGGTGCACGGCGCGACATAAATCAGGGGGCTTTTCTGAGACTAATAAGACCCGCCGCCATCTATTCATTACTCAGCTCGCAATTCGGGCCATCACTCATTAGTCAGCGGGTAATTTGATGATTAACACCACCCAACTCAGCGGGTCCGCGGAGCGCCAGGAACACAAAGGCGGCGGCTCCGAGGAGCAGGGTTAGAGGCCGCCTTTGAAGGCGCTTTCCGGAATAATTGGTCACCGTTATCCTCGAGTGCTCGGGCGCTGGTGTCAGCACCCTCGGCGGGTCTCGTCTGCGCGGCCCGCCGCCCGGAAGCTGAGGACCGCGGTGTGGTCTGACATTCCATCATACATGCCGCGGAGACAAAGGTCCGCACAGGAATGTGAAGTAAGACATTTTCTTGTTAATAAAGCATTGATCCGACATATTGATTTCACATGACATGGCTTTTGCTGCGATCCTGCCCTCCTTTTTCTCTGCAAATAGTAAAGCTCTTCGAAATGCCTCGGCGTGTGTGACACGGCAAAAATTCCTAACTCTCTGTGATGTAAATTCTATATGTGTAAAACCACTTCATAATCAAACCATTAATCATCAGAAGCTGTCAGGGGAGACTTGGGGGACAATTTGTCATGTCCCTGCCTGGGCCGGGACGAGGGTGTAAGGAAAAGTGCAGGCCGGGCGGACGGGCCTCACCCAGCCAGCAGGCCCGGAAGGGTTCCACGACGTCCCAGGTCTCCCGACCAGGGGACAGGAAAGATGGCCCAGTGTCCTCTCAGAGGCCAGGGCCCTCCTCCCCCCAGCTCGCCGCCATGCCCGCTGGACTAATGAATCGGCCGGTGAAAGGTGATCCGAACAGAGAGATGGGCGGCCGCTATTGATTTCATGCAAATGCCCTGACAGGTGATAGCTGCTCTAATGCAAGCTTTCAGAAGCTTTATGACTTGTGATAACCGTGCCCGCTCATTCCGGAAGAGACATCCCTGATGTTTCAGCCGGATTGACATTCTCCTTCTAGGACCAGAAAAGATTTCCAAGCGGTAGAAACGAGAGGGTCCCGCTCGCCTCCCACTGCAGCCTGAGGAGCGTCCACGTCTGAAGCGCCCCGCCGAGAGCAAGGCTGGACGTCAGGAGAGGACGTGTCTCGGTACAAACGCGGGTCTCACCAGGCCGGACCCAGCATTGGGGGGTGGGGGGGACAGGGAGCTGCGGTTGCAGCTGGAAATCGCGTCGGGGGCTTCGCTAGGGAAGCCCGAAGGACTTACATGGAAGACTTAGGAGAGGAGGCCCTGTGATGTGTGTGCTCGGTTCGGGGCGGGGGCGCTTTGATCACTGAGGGTGGGGTGCACACCCCTGAGCCTCTGGGAGCAGCTGCCATCGGCGGAACCGACCGGGGGACTTCCGAGGGTGGGACCCCCCAGAACCCCCCGAGCTGCACCAGGGCAAGGAGGGGAGTTGCCCAGCCTTCCCCGGCACAGTCTACAACTGGAGGAGAAAACAGAAGCCCCTCCGCACATCTGATACACGGTCTGTGCGTGGCGTTTACTAGGAGGGCCCGGCCCAGCCAGGCCATGGCTCTGCACGTCCAGTCACAGAGCAGCGAGCCAGGCCAATCAATACCACTTTCCTGTTTTAGAACTGGGTAATTATGAGGGGGAGAGATTGCCTGACCTTTCACCTGCACTGCATTACTTTGCTGATATTAAGATAAATTGCCTGATTTTGGGTAAACATATGCTGCGATTCAAGCTGTCAGCACTGGTTTGCTCAGGGGTAATTTGTATTGATCTCCCAGCTCCTGCCCAATTTTGCTTACTGACCTCGTGGATAATTAGAGAAGGAGGCTTGGGTGAGCTCGAGTCAGGAGAAGAAGAAATACGAAGAAGAATAAGCAAGTTTGTTTTATGTTAATATTTGTAGGTCCTCCTCCGGCCCTCACATCTGTCAGCATCAGGAGAGCCGTAAATTAATGGACTTGGTTCCTGAGCAGTTTATTCCCAGGAATTATTTAGCTGCGTGCTTAGTCTCTGAACATGTGTCACTGGGTTAAATTAATTTAAACTCTGCCTTAAACACAACAAAAACAAATGTTGTTTTCTGCTGAAGGGGAAAAAAAACCAAGACATTTCTCAAAATGTATTACCAGCATCCACCTTTCCGTGGGGATTTCCACGCCCATCTGCGTTGGAGAGGAGGAGGTTTACAACAAACCACGCCCCCTGACTGCCCCACCCCCACAAGAAAAAAAGTAATTAGTGCCCATTATTTGTTCCGAATTCAAATCTTGCAAAGATGGGCTGCTACATGTAAAAAAGATGAATGCAGGCACAAAATTATATCATTTAAGATATGTCAGATTATAAGGCTGTTGTATCAAAAGTCATAAAACAAATCTCCCTTGTGAAATATCTCTTTATTAACCGTGCCATAAGATATTAACATTCCTCATTTAGTGGAGGGCCTTTTATCTGTTTCAAATACATTATTCGTCCTTTTAGAGATAAACTGTATTAATATCCATTTGAGTAGGCTACCGCGGCCTAATGCATAGTAATTTTTGTTGGAGAGCTTTTATTTTAGAATAAGAAAATTACACAGCAATAAAACCTGAATGAACCAGAAGCTAGAATAGCCGGGAATCACATTCCATGCCAAATGGGGCAGGCAGGCAGGCAGCCTGTGAAAGGCCAGATACCCAGCTCTCATATGCAGGCCAGCATCCAGCGCGGGTCACACAAATAGAGGCTGACACGGCCACATAGACTCAATGATTCCCGCACGCAGGAATCGCCTACAGCTCGCAAGGATCCACATTTAAATATATTTGAGTGTACTGGAGTTAATCTCGTTACTTTACATGCATTAAAGTCATAACAGAAGAAGCATTCTAAATATTTAAGTCATGCCCGTGTACTGGGGGATTAATCATACCGCAATTGATAAAATTTTAACGGTCTGTGATGTCAGTTCAAGTTGGGATTGCCGGAGCTAATGTGGCAGCAGAAAATGGCATCAGGCTCCGAGCTGCAGCTGCGGCCAGAGCAGCTCCAACCGGCCGCTGCAATTAGGAACGCGCCATACCGACGGGCGAGAGGCGGTAGAATTTTCTTTCTTGTGACATGCAGAGTTTCAGTTTCCGTTTTGACGGCTTAACCTTCTTTGTCAGCCACCCTGCCCTGTGGTCTGTGTTAATCTCTCATACACCGAAACGTATGTGATTATTTTATTAGACTTGAATAGCAAGTCCGCTAATGTAGAAACATAATCCAGTGAAGCAAGAGGGCATCCTTGGGGCCTCTGGGTTGGTAACAGAGAAACAGAATTTCAGGGTGGACCAGGTTATGTTCCAGGCCCGTGGGTGTTTCCTGAAAGTGAGAACGTGTGTGTCCGCTCAGTCACGTCTGACTCTTCTGCGACCCCGTGGACTGTAGCCCCCCAGGCTCCTCTGTCCATGGGGTTTCCCAGGCAAGGATACTGGAGTGGGCTGCCAGGCCCTTCTCCGGAGGAAGTGCCCGACCCAGGGACTGAACCTGGATCCCCTGCACTGCAGCAGACTCTGCTGTCTGAGGCGCCTGGGAAGCCCGTTTTTCTACACAAGCACCTCTCTCAGAAGGCAAACGGCCAAACCAACGGCCTCTAAATCCATTTCGTCCACTCACCACTTATCAAGCAGCTACTACGTGCCCGGGGCTCTGCCGGGGGAAACCTGCCCCCAAAGGCATCAGGAAGAGCAGCCCCGAGCAGACCTGACCCCTTATTCACGCTGCTGCTGCTGCTGCTTCGATGGCCACCTGCCCGGGGTGTTGGGATCCCCCCAACCACCCCCAGGCCTGAAGGCATCCCAGCTGCAAACAGGGACCTGTCTGGGGTGGGAAGGCTTCATTGTGATGGCAACCTCCTGACCACCCCTGCCAGGGGCACCTGGAGACCAGCCCAGCCAGCCAGCGAGCAGGGCCACCGACGCTAAGTACGTGAGACTAATTGTTCCTACAGACACCGTTGTGTTTCTAAAATGGCATCATCAGCGCACAAGGGGGACACCCAGGTAGGAGACTCGCCGCCTTTAGCGTTGCCTCCATTTAAGCCCAAGCCCAGTGAGCAAAGAAAGATACAAGAAGTTTCAGGTTTAGCACAAATTTCCCTTCTGCCTGAAA